TCTCCTTTGCCATCCGGCCAAAGGGAAAGTGCGGCGGAAAAAGCATGAGTAAAACACCGAGAGAATCCCTTTTCACGACACACATCTCAACTATTGTTTGTGTGGAAACAACCACGAGTTCTCGCCAAACAAGGACTTCGACTTTCTCCAACCACCATAATGCGACTGTAAAGTGACAAGAATTTCCCTGCGACACGATGTTAATGGCCAACAGAAACGTGCTGTGGAATTTAAACAAACAATAAGAAAGGGAAAAATGCCCTTAACATGATGAAAGATCTTCGCAGGTATATAAGAAATCATGGAAGATATCTTGAGGAGGGATTTATGATTCTAATTGCTGCGGAATTGGAGCTTCTGAGAGCTTTCTAGCTAGTCAGCGTGCTGCCAGATGTTTTTAAGAGGCTTTTCGGGGAACATTTTTCAATTGACACCCCATTTCGCAAGGGTGGAAATTCGATTTGCGGATTACGTGTCCAGTGCGATGTCTTTTCCTCAATTCCGCAAATGCACAGGCGCTGGACAGTGTCAAGTGAAGAGGATTTTCTGGAGAAATCCCTCCAGTGCATCGGCAAGTTTTAACACTCTTTTCCCGGCTCGTGATGGGGCAAATGGGATGAAGAGGTCCATAAATCAGGGCTGAGTGGGAAATTTCACAATAAAGTTCACAAACTGAGCGGACGGGCGAAAAAAAAGTCCATTGAAACAGATGAAGAATGGAAGTGGATTTGCCAGCACATTGAATGATGCGCCGAAGTGCAGGAAGGGAGCATTTTTCCAGCTGAAAATTTCATCAAAAGCTTAGATGTACAAACGACGGATTCACACGAAGGCTTAAAAAAGTGTCCAATGAGCAGAAATCGCATCTGGGTTGTGTGCAAACAAATGGACAGCATGATAGATCACTAAACATCGCATAGAATTTCCGCAAAAGACAAAAAGTGATGCACATGTAAAATTGCTGGTATTGCAAAGTGTTTCGATGCTGGAGGTGAATTCCATCTGTGCCATCAGAGTCAATCTGCACGAATGCCAGCCAGTGACATCTTAATTTAATTCGCTGGGAAAGTAATTGGTTATTGAATAAGAGATGAACTTTTGAGAAAACTGTCTTGTTCCTGACAATGCAGAAAAGTTCCACATGATTGTTTCTAAGTGAACAATTTAATTATCTTGTCTCTCAAACACTACTTACTTCAATGACAAGCTTTCAATTGTCTCAACCCAGATTCGCACAACACAGGAAAGAAGAGTTAAGAAAGTTAAAATTAAATGTACAATAAAAGTGTATTGTGAGGAGATTGCGTGCTTTCGCCCGGTAAAATTTACTGTCAAAATTAATTTTTGGAAAAGTCATAAACTTACGGTTGAAGAGCTCATTTGCTGTTAGTATTTGATATTTGGGTTTACCTAAGCTCAACATAAGCGCCAAGCGCAGATAAAAACAGCCAAAAGTGTGCTTGAACCACGAAAGCGGAGGCGCATTTTAAGGGTGAAAGGCTTCCGTCTAACAGCCCTGTTTGGCATTCTGAGGATTTTGAGATGGGCGGGTTTCATCTCTGGAATTACATAATCAGTTTCTGTATGTACAAAACCTCTTCGGCTCTGCGGAAGCACAAACATGGCGTGGTGAAAAAAGCTCCCAAATCTATTTGCCACCACACGCGCACGCCGTGGGGAAAGGGTGAAAGATAAATAAAGGATACAAAACGGATGATAATGGTCTATCAAAGCGAACAAGGAATGGACCAGAATATCAAACTAAACCACTTCGGCAGCCCCAAAAAACACACACACACAGGGAATTTGCATATGAAAGTGTCTGTCTCACCCCAAAACACCTTCTAGAGCTCGCCCGACAAGTGACTTGGGGTGGAAAGTTTGGGGGGTGGCGAAGAGTTAACTGTTCGCGCGCTCAACTAACGCGCCTAGTTTTCGTCACTGGCGCGTGTGTGCGTGGAAATGGGCACGTAGAGTCACTTGGAAATTTTTATCACACCGCCGCACACCTGAGCTGTGACACCTGACGCGAGGGTGGGTCTTTCGGCGCCGCATGAAATAAAAAGAGAGAGAGCGCGCGTGAAAATCTGGGGGGTTGAAAGGAAATTGTCAATGAGGTAAATCGATTGAATTTCAAACACTGCGGTGGAAAGTTTTCTTTCCCGCCGACGCAGAGTCATTCCTCTTGGGGCCTCCCGTGGGGGGTTGGGGGGGGGGGGTGGAAAAGTGAAACTACATACATCGGCAATCAACCACTGTATTCATACAAGCGTTAACGCCATGAATATAAAATCAAATCGCTCCCTTTGGTTTTTGCCAGCGCTGACGCGAGGGGATCGCCTGGGGGACACCTGTTTTTCGCCCCAAACACCATGCCAAATAGCACAGTCCTGCGCCGCTGGCGAGCTTCCAGCAGCAGCAGCCACCCCCAAATGAGTGGATGAAGAAGGAGTGCTGCTCACGCGAGTGGCATACAAAATGACTGAAGGTTGGAGAGATGAATTCATCTCCGTCGGTTGGGGAATTGGAAAACAATATTAAGCATAATATCCATTTCCATTGGGGGTGGCGGCGGCGTAAAAAGAGCTTTCCTCGTCAGCGGAAAAATCAGGTTTCTCAATTAGAGGACGGCAGCTTTTTCCCTCACATTGCAAATTATCCCAGCAGATGCGATGCCTTTTATCAAATTCCCACTGAGTTCCAGTTGGTGAGGTGATTTGATTTACGACCCAAAATACATTGTTCAATGCCTTTCTGGCTTAAGACCGAATGGGATTCTTATGTAATGTGTTTAAGAGAGGATTTCACGTAGTCTAGAGGTGGTAGTCATCATTGAATATACTCTGCAATGCTAAGGAACTCTTGAAGGCGAAAGCCACGCCCACTCCTCTGCCCCGCCCATTTAAATGCCCACAAAGCCAATGACCGCTTGGCCTTCGAGAGGGTTAGAAATACCATCGAATTGATGTCATTATCCGCAACTTTTGCCACTCCAAGCGAGAGATCTGTAATGCGATGTGACTTGTTAGACAGTAAAAGTGTTGCGGATCCTGATGGGGAAGCGTGGAAATGTGACGAGGAAAAAGGTGGTAAATTTCATACCTGTCCCCGGGATGGTCATTTTTATGAGTTGGGGACAAGCGACGACTTAAGCACATCCTGCAGCTAAACAACCGTACAAGAGAGTACATTTTATTGCTGCGGAAATGCTGTAAATTTCACATGAGTGTGCTTTCTGGGTGCTTGAGCGCTTTTTGCACAGGTGCTCGTCGTGAGGGTTGACGCCGAAACCCTCAAGCGACACGTACACTTCAATATTGGATCTGAAAGTGCCATTTTTCCACCCCTTCGCGCAGCCCATTTATGACTGGAACACATAAATTGTGCGGGTGCGGATGAAGTGTTTGTAATTTTCATGTGACACCACTCAAGAGTTATATGATTAAAATTTATAAAATATTAAATGAATTCTGTGGGATCCCTCGCGTTGGGTGCGATGTGAAGTATTTCCATATGGGGAGTGTGTGTGGGAGCGTGTGGGGGTGCTGAGGGACAGTCAAGGGTGGAAATTGTGTGGAGAAAGTGGTGGCAAAATTGACATAGTTGGTATTTTAAGCACATCCCCTATTGTTTGGGTGTTTGCAAATATATTTCAAACTCTTGTAATTCTGGCACGCATTTTGCCTCTGGGAAATTGCAGTCTAAGGGTTGAGCCTTAAAATTGTTTTTAATAATGCTCCTCAAACTGCATTTACATTCGCGCGGTTGTTTTTTTTTTCTCCGCTTCAGCCTCCCTTAATAGATGCCAGTGAACTTTTTCTCCCTCCAGCCCACCCTTCTCCACATCCTTTATCGCACCACAAAGTGGTTGCTAAACTTTTCTCAAGTCCTCTCTTTTTCCCATGAAGAACTCCCAGAGCAGCTGCATTACACAAAACTTTTTCCCACTTCTTCCCGATATTCTTTTGCCCATTGAAAAGAAAAATCCACTCTCATGTGAATGCAATATAGTTATATGTATGGCCAAAAAGTTGCATCCAGCCTCACACAAAAAAATTTCTATACTTTGCACACAGTTTTCGAGGAGAGTTCTTCCATTAGTTTGCCCAACATTCTCTGCACATTGGAAGTAATTGAAATTTATTCAATGTGTTTGATTCATCCTGTGTAGAGGAAGTTTCCGTTCACCCGCAACTTCTCATCTTCCCTGGGAATCCACTGGGTGATGGCAATAAATGCTGTGCCAGGATGAGATTTCAAAGGCCAACAGAATCAAACTGTACCCAGACGGGGCGGAACACCCCCTGAAGGAAATTGACTCTCAATCGAGGGAAGTTCTTGTCTCATTTTCCCCCTGATTTGTGCATTGGGGGAGGGTTGAATTACCATTGATATGCAAGTGCTGTAAGGCCAGGAATATTGACCCGGAATATAGGTGCATTTCGTCATCTTGCACCGTCGGTGTGGGGGGAAATGGTGCCGGGGGAGAGATGAATGAGTCCCTGATTCACATTTAAGTGGTGCTCCAGGCTAAACACACACCCTCAACTTCGCAGAGACACAGAGTCACTTCTCATTAATCATTTCTAATTGAGTGGTGTGCCATCACTGACGACTCGTGCGTCGTCCGGCAATTGGAATAAATTCCCACTCGATTCCCACGGGAAGACACTCACAACGCCAGAAACAACATAATTTATTACACTGTGGTCGACAACATCCACCGCAGCAGCGCAATGTTGCAAATGAGAATTCATGCAAATGCCACAACTTTGTGTTTATCAATTTAATCATAATGCAGAAGTGTGAAGATTCCGGAAAAATTGATCCAGTCTGATGAACTTACAGGAGTTGCAATATCAACTGTAATCTGCTAGATTGTGCGTTATTCACGACACACATCTGTATTTGGCAATTTAATGACTTCTCTCGCAAGAGATTCTCAGCATGTTTGTGACACACGCCCAACTTTTTTTTTCTTTCTTTCTGTACACTTTCAGGGGCCAAGGAGACGCCAGGACACGGACAAGGCGAGGGCAATGCGTCGCAAGAGGCCCCCGGGCGGCTTCCTGCTCTGTGGACTCCTCAGCTGGACAATAATGATGAATTTCCTTCCGATGTGCTTGTGCCTCAATCTCGAGGAGAGGATGAAAGTCGTGGGCAAAGTGCTGAAGGAAGTGCCTTTAATCGATGGGTGAGTGTTGTAAATTTACATTTATAGGCAAATGTGTGTTGAACTGCTTGCCAAATCTCCCCTTGACATATGATCACAGCCCCATAATTCTGTTAATTGTCCAAATCAGCTTAGTCGGCAAATCGTCACAGACCATCGGCAAACAGAAAATCCGGCCCATTTGCTGTCGCTCTGTGACTCTGGGTGTCTTCGAATGGCTGTCAATGGCGATGGAAGATGGTTGTATTTGGAGTCATCATCATCCATTTCACAAGATAAATTCAGTGTGCAAACATTGTGTCACAACAATCCGCAATAATTACTCAATTGAGAGCAAAACTGTTCGAAGACTCTGGATAGATTCATCCTCGGCGATGTTATGGAGATAATCTAATGAAAAATTGATAGTTAAACATTTCAGTGGTCACAATTGAATAATATTTGTCGTCTCTGATTTCCAATTTGTGCATAAAATAATCCGGAAATTGAGGATGTCAAGCGTTGAAATGATAGGCAGATGAACACAGAGAGATCCTTTTATTAATCATCCCTCGTATGCGAAACTAATGGATGATGTTGTTTAATCAGAGTGAAGCCTTCGCGGTAAAATATCTCAATCAATCTTTCGCCTCATTTGCAATACAAGCGTGTGTTCGTGGAAAAGGAGTGAAACCACGCGATGTCAACCTTCCCTGGGAAGCTATAATTAATGATGTTTTCCGAGATGGGAGAAGAATCCTCGGGCGACGGGGGGGTTAAAAGTGAAGACAATCAAGTGGCAAGAAGTCAGTAGTGCTTTTGAGATTAATAATGAAGCTTTTCCCCCCTGAATTTTGTACGTCTTGTCGAAGAAACCACATGCGTTTATTAATGCAGATACAACCATTTATTAAGATCAATTTAAAATTAATCCAATCTGCTCTAATTTCACTTCCCATCCCCCAATTGCTATCCATTCTGATTAGGAGCGGCAGAAAAGGGGGGTGGGTTTTGAATTAATTATTGAAATTGCTTAATTGGGACACGCTTGGAAATCTTCGGATGTTGCAATGGAAAATGTTGGGAAAATATCGCCACAAGAGAGAGAGAAAGCTCAAATATTGCGTCCATGTGTTGTGTGACAATAAACATTTTATGAAGATTCAGATTATTAATCCAATTGTGGACATGGTGAAGTTTTGTCTCTTTGATTCCCCCCCCCAACTTTACGACTCGCTTGTGTTTCCAGTGCTCGTGATCACTCTGGCATGATGAATGCATGGAAACATACAACTTGCCATGAAAATTGAATTACTCCCTCATTCCGGAGACTGTCCTGAATGCGCTCGTCATCTCAATTGATCAACAGACGAGAGCGCAAACATGATGCGAAAAGACATTCTCTGTCATTTCATATCGGTGGCTTGTTTGTTCCACAGACACAACGACCTGCCGTGGAACATCAGGAAATTCCTGAAGAATCAACTCCGCGAGTTCCGCTTCGGTGAGGATCTGAGGCAAATCTCACCGTGGTCCACGAGCGTCTGGAGTCACACGGATCTGCGGCGCCTGCGGGAAGGAATGGTGGCTGCACAGGTAAATATTTATAACTGGTCTGATAAGCACACTGAAAAGTCACATAAATTGCATTCAGAAGCAATGTTGCGCGAGGAAACAAATGACTGTAATCTCGAAGATGAAAAGCACTTGAGTTTTTCCATCTTCCGCATCACGTTCTTCACGCAAATCTCTCGCGCTGCACACAATCTGAAAAGAATTGTGGGTGAGAAGCAGAACAAATAGACTGTTGGGGGGGGGTTTGTGGAGAATGAGGGCGGAGCATAGGAGTGGGCGGAGTCATAAAAACAACGTTTTTTACTCTCTAGCTTGACATATTTCCCGTATTAGGCAAAATTCTTTAAAGGTTAGTGAAGAAAATGATTGCTTTAGTGATTAAAGATGATTTATTTTTCATTATATGCATAAGTATACAATTTTCTACACTTCTCACGGACAGAGAGTAATGATGGCGATTCTGTCAAAGCATCTTCCGTGAAGATTTTGTATCTCTTCCAGTTTTTTTTGCATGAAAAAGGCTACAAATATACAAGCAATTCTCAAGTGTTTACATTTTCAATTTCAACTCATTCACACTTTTGTTGTTGTGTCGCTCTCTCTCTCTGCTCGTGTCATTATTTTCTTATCATTTTCTGTATTTTCACCCACCAATTTTCCTCGAGAGCACAGAAAAATTCCACTGCAGGGAATTTTTGTACGCCTTTCACCATAGCGTCTCGAGTCCTTTCACATTCTCACCGTCTCGATGGCATCTACTTAAAATGGCATTTTTGCCTGAAAGTCTTCATGTGCAAATGGAATGTAATGCCAAAGCGACTTTCATGACGGCGAATTTGGATTTCAAGATGCTTTTCGAGAGTGGATGTGAAATGGTTTGTCGGATGAAGAAATCAATATAGAATAGATTTTCATGTATTGATATGCAAAAGAGATTGCAATTTTCCATGCATTCCACATTGAATTTTCATGCCATTCTCTCCGCTGCACTCGTCACGTGTTGTCAACACTTCAATCATACTCAAAGGGAAGTGTTAAAAATCTTTTGACATGCTGGAAAAATGCCACCCCAAAAAAAAAAAAAAACGCAAATATTCTCACTCCATCGAAACTTTCCTTGCGTTTGTTCACACACGAGCCACTCAACATTGGGGAGGAGAATGTTATGGAAATAGAATGTACATATATTGTAGGGCGAGAAGCGAGTGTCGTGAATAATGCAAAATACAATAAATTAAAGCAAAAATACTGCCACAAAATCCAGATTTAGCGAAAACGTGGAATTTTCTTCTCTGCCAGACACTGACATCGATTTATTTGACTGGAGGCTGCCTCAGCTCAGAGCCCCAAGTCTTGCAGCGTATAAATATTCAGTGGAAATGAATGGTTGTGTTGACGAAATTAAAGTTCTGGCATCAACATTGTCTTCTGTGCGGGTAAATGCCCCACAAGAGCTTCCCAGTGGGAGCTTGAGTACACTTTATATGGATGAGCGAGAGAATTGTGTGGCTGAGGGAATCATAAATTGCGTGAAAGGAAAACCCATGCGCAATGTTTCACGGGAAATTTGATAACAAAACTCAGCATTATTGCAGCAGATTTCAACTGTTGATCGTGCAAATCTAAATTGAGAGTTTATTTCAGTCTCTAAGGAAGTCCGGAACTTCCTAAAAGCGATTACAGACTATCAGATTATCCACGGGAGGTTCAACGAGAGCGCGAGTATGTACGGTTGACAATTCGCTTAGCCAGAAAACGCGAATAATCCCTCGATATATCGAAGGTTCAGCCGATTTTTCAGGTGTTCCCGACGACAGCACGCTCGTGCGAAAATGCGCCGAAACATTGCACGATTTAGGAAGGGCAAAATGGCCGAATGTCTTGCGAATGATTTCTTGGTTTATTAAAATCATTTAATTCTTCTGCGCATCATTCATTTTCGCAATTTAACCGTAAAATTTCACGCTTTTGAAGTATGCAAATCAACTGACAGTTGAACACACCAAACACAGTGGCGCTAGTGTTGATAAAGAAGAATAACTCTTGAGTGTGTTTAGCGCCATTTCATCCACGAATTATGGCTAATCCATATTTTGAGTGTGTAAAGGTGCAGATCAACCACGAATTATCGTTGATCGGATCTTTACACATTTCAAGCTGGAGGACTGATCCGAGCTCGCGACGATTCGAGGATAAGCGGCAAGTCTGTAATCGCTCTAAGAGTTTGTTGAACGCAAAATATCTGAAGGATAATAGCTGTGACTCTGTACAATGCTCAAGAGTGAATCTCCCTTGAATTCTCCACATGACATCCATACAATGAAATGATTCTCACATTTTATTCTGGCAATTGTTCCTCATAATTCACAATGGAAAAGCTCCATATCGTGTCATCTCTCGCAAGTGGGTGAGATTGACAGTGAAATGCTACTCTGGAGAACATGCAAATTATCTCAATGGACATAAAGCACGTCTCTTGACATCCTTCTTGTGGGGCAGAGAGAAAGTTTCCCCGATAAGGATTTCGACGGCACTTTTCACAGTTTGCTCACCAATTCAACCCTCCCGATAAAATTGGCCAACTTTATGTGGAATTTATTTTGATATTTCGACATTTCTGTGTGTGCAAATTGTTCACTGCTGGGAAAGAAAAATGCTGTAGCCAAAGTAGAGCTTCTCAATGCAAAATAACCCCCTTGAAAGTTGTGAAAAGTTCCAGTGAATTTGAATGGGTTTTTCCATAATATTGAATTCAAGTATGAGAAGATTGTATATATTGAGAAAATCCTCATGAGATTGAGCATAAGTGCGAAATATTTGCCTGCTGAGAATGCTTTTGTGCATAAAATACCGATTATGAGTCGCGACTGTATCTTGGCATGGAATTTCTCCGGGAAAATTGTGATAATTCCTTTTTCTGCGCCTCGAGCGCCTCAAGCATGGGGAATCTTTTCACATTTTTCACCAGACCGTATAGAGAGACAGAGAGAGAAAGAGAGAGAGAGAGAGAAAAAAGGTATAAAAGTCTATGGATATAATGCTACCTTCCGCGTGTTGTACTTTCCCGAAGCTCAAGGAGTATTGTGAAGATATCGTGTTTCACTGTCATTTTCTGTCACATGAATTGCCCAAAAGAATGCTGGCTTTTCCATGATGGAAAAGAATGAGAGCAAGAGAGAGAGAGAGAGATGGAGAATTTCTGTGTCAGTCGGAAAATGGAATGTTTTCAAGAGAGAGAAAAATATTTCTTCTTCATATGTGTGGAACACAGAAAAGTGCGGGAATGCCGGAAAAATACAGTTGAAATTGATCGAAAATGACTAGGAATCGTTCGGTGTATTTTTATCCCCTTTCCTCATAAGTTTTATAGCCATTTTTCCTGATTTATCGTAATTGTACTCCTTTTACAAGCCAGGAGGACGTTTATTTCGCTTTTTGGCTATATAGACTCTCGCTCTCTCCCTCCCAATTTCGGGGGTTGTTTTCTCGATTTGCCACGCACACATTCTGTTGTGCTTTGGCAGAGAGAAAGAGAGAAAGAGAGAAAGAGAGAGAGAGAGAGAGAGAGAGAGTAGAGTCAACCATTTGGCATGAATGTTCTCATGCGCCTCTGTAAAATGAGGAAAATGAAGAGGACTATAAAAAAAATGAGAGGAGGATTTTCACCAGGAAATAATGCCCCATTCTCCCAATCCCGAAATCCTCGTGGGAAGGGCAGAAAAATGCTCGTGGAAGGTATTTCCGTGAAACTCTCAGCTTATCATCTTCGGAATATTATCCCAAAGCGTCCCAAGGCAAGGGAGACAAGGGTGGGCTTGTAATCCTATTAAGACAATATCCACGAGCCACTCATCTGCATCTTGACGGGGTCGTAACTTCTGACCTCATAAATCGCACTTATCAGCCGCACATTTACCTTCTCTCGGCCGCGCGGCGCGGCTTTTATTGTCGAATAAATCAAATCGAATCATCAAAGTCACTTGCATCGCGCACCCCTCGCCGGGTGTGGATTGGGGGTCGGGGGTGGTAGACAAAGGGGAGCCCACCCACACGGTGCATATTGTGTGCGAATAAGCCAGACTTTTCCACCTCGTGCGGTGCATTTCCAGCCATATGGATAGTGAGCAGAATGTAAACTTTTATGGCTGGCAGTCATGCTTGTATTATAATGTTGGCAAAGTCGTATATCATTTTCTGTAAGTGTTTTAACTACTTTACACTTTCCATTGTGCATTCGGGGCCATAATACAAAACACCAACCGCCATGCGGCATAATCTATCCGGGTTAGTGTCGCCCGCCGTGAATGAGCGGATCCGCCATGGATTTTGTGCAAAAACCATCCACAAACTGTAAGCCAAGCAACAACACTTGGAGTGCAGCGCCTCTGTACATACAGTAGCGAAAATTAGGTTAGGACACTTATGAAATTTTGGCCATTTTTCTATGCGTGCCTTATATGACACCTTCGTTATCCTGGTTTTGTGTAAAGTTCGTATTGCGCATCGTTGGATGAAATTTCTGGACAATTTTGATTGATCAATGAATTTTAGTTATTTGGAATATCTTTTCATGCAACAATCGCCACAATGCTAGATTTTGTGGCATGGCATGGGCACCATTCACCACATTATGGAACCCTTGTATGCTAGACAATATGCAAACGCAATTAGAACCATTTTCCTGCCATGCATCAATAAGAAATTACAGATTTTCTGAACCCTATAATAAGAAATTGACTAAAAATTACCCTTTCTAAAGAGCAAAATGCTGTAATTTTCACGGCTACATGATTGTTCTTGAACGATTGACTTCGACTCCTTTTCTACACTTCAGAAAAAACCTGTGAACAGGATTTGGGCCGCGGTTGTGCGTAAGAAATTAAGAAATGCATAAAAAGCGTTAAATGATAGCTTAAAACATATAAAAGCAATTTGACAAATCCAAATCAAAGCGCTCTATGATGAAAATGTTTTCTAGACACTCCAAACTCATGAGTTAATATGATTATTCGAGGCAGTTTTATGATTATAACAAGGATTTATTCCCTATCCTTATACGCACATCTCTCTGCATTTTGCAATATCTCAGCCCCGAATTGAGATATCGTCATGATCTCAACGCCATTTGAAAGATCATTAAATTCTCATTATTTTTTATCTTAAGGTAATTGTCTCGAAAATTGAAAGAAATATCGAATTTTTAGCACCAAAAGGAAAAATGGCCAAAATTTCATAAGTGTCCTAACCTAATTTTCGCTACTGTATATATTTGGAGAGTCGGAGCTTTTCATGGCAGCTTCGCATGGAATGCATGACGAGTTAAAGTTTGGCTCTCGCCAATATAAAGTGGGAGAGAAATCTCTGAGCCTCGTATTTCATCCGGAAAGACAATATCATGGCAAAGTTTCCCCAAACAATACACTTCATCACTTTCACCCGGTGAGAAAGTATTTCTCTTGGCCTCAGAATGCTCTTCGCCAGATGAAATATGGAAATTATTATTATTATTGTACGAATGAACACTATTTTATCTCCAATTCAGCTCTTATTTGGCGTAAATCGCGCGGTTTTTTTTTATTATTAAACATTATGGAGATCATAAATCAGAAACACCGCTAAAGATTTATTCCACACTGTCACAGAATGTGGAGAATTGCAATGGAAGACAAAGAGTTTAATCACCCAAAGAGCAATTATATGTTCATAACTCAAGTTCTATCTTGATATGAACAATTCCAGAGATACAATTTGCCGCGCTCGCTGCACATTTGCATATGTGTGCTGCACATCCAATTTCCCAGACTCCACCAAGAAAACCAATTGCAAATGGGAAGATTTTTCACCCCAGAGAGTGAAATTACCCTCGCGATAGAGCATCACGAAACTTAGCAGGAAATTTATGCATTGGCTCTGAATGTGCGCAGCTTCTTCATCATCATGAGATATATATGTATCGTCGCTGAGGGGTGGTTTTCGCCCCACAAGGACTGACCATGCAAATTTGTCTCTTGCAGTTCTGGTCCGCATATGTTCCGTGCTCGTCGCAACACTTGGACGCCGTGCAACTGGCGCTGGAGCAAATTGATCTCATTCGCCGTCTTGTGAGTCTCTATCCGCAGCATATGTCACTCGTGACCACGGCCGAGGGTGAGCTTCTTCCCCAGCAATATTTAGCTTCCTTATCAACTCTCATTTATCTGCGCAAACACTCTCCAACCTTGTTTAGTTAATTCACTTTGTCACCCTCTTGCGTTTGTTGACAGAATGCAGCGATTCCCGTCGCTCGTCAGCGCGCGCTTAATTGTATATATCCTCTTTCCATTAAGCATCAAAAGTGCCTTTTCTTTGCATTCTTAATCATTTGCGAAAGGGAAGAAAGTTCCCGGCAGGAGAAATTGCTAAATTCATTTAGCCATGGGAGAGATGAAGGCTTTTATGCATCTGTAATTGGGTGTGCTCGTCTGCAATTTGAGAAGTGGAGTGCTTTAGCAATTAGTCAGAGGGTGAATTCACCTCCCCTAATTCCGATGCACGTGCAAATGGGTGGGAATTTCACGCAATTTGCCTAAGTCTCTTCGGTGTTCTCGTGACAGGTATCGATGAGAGTCATCAGGCTGGCAAATTGGCAAGTCTAATTGGTGTGGAAGGAGGTCACGCAATTGGGACCAGTTTGGGAGTCCTCCGGATGTTCTATCAACTCGGTGCTCGATATTTAACCTTAACGCACACCTGCAATACGCCATGGTGAGTCGCTCTGCGTTTTGCCACAGTGTCGCAACTGACTTGTGTGTGCGTCTTGCAGGGCCGATTGCTGCAAAGTAGACGAACCGGGGCGGGTGCCCCACATTGGGGGTCTCTCTCACTTCGGCACGGTAAGTCATAAATCATATATTCACCCACGCTTTCAGCGTCTCAACTCATACACAAAAAATCTATTACTGCGTGATTTATAGCTTGTCGTCACAGAAATGAATCGGCTGGTAAGTGGCAGAAGTATTATTAATTAATCCAACTCCCAGTCGTCCTGCATTGTTGAATGCTCACGCCCCGATTCTCTCTCTCTCTCTTGCGTCCAGGGGATGATGGTGGATCTGTCTCATGTGTCAGTGCCAACGATGCTGGACGCGCTGGCCACATCGAAGGCTCCCGTGATATTTTCCCACTCGTCAGCACATGCAATTTGCAACAGCTCCCGAAATGTACCAGATCACGTCCTCAAGCGAATTGTATGTCAATTTGCGATGCAGCTTTTTGGGCTGAATGTGATAAAAATCCATGTCTTTCAGGCGGTCAACGGCGGACTGGTCATGGTTGCCTTCTATCCACACTTCGTTAGCTGTGCCGAGAGCGCCACGCTGAAGGATGTCGTAGGTGAGTCACAGAAGCCACCAAAAAAAAAAAACAGATCCAAGAATCCAAAAATACCCTCAAACCCCTCGGCATTTGGAGCCCCGGCGGGAAAAAAATATCATGGATATTTCCCTTGTTTGGCCAGCATTCTGAAATGTAGAGATATTTCCTCCCCCCCATCTCGGGCATCTTCGCTATGGTAAATATTTTCCATGGTTTGGAGGGAGGGAATTTACGAGGAAAAACAAACATTACGGCAATCACAACACTTTGAACTCAACCCAGTCAACAATTCCCCGTCTGACGTGCGACTTTTTCCCGGCTGTGGGACTGTCGGTGGGCTTAACTTGACACTTCCCGGTGGAGACATTTCGACAGACACATTTACCGGGTGCCCCGCCCCTGAGAGGCTTTTAAGTGGAGCAGAATGACTGAGAAAATGGGTACACGTGAAGGGTGGCAGCCTGAGAGGTTTTGCATAGTGCCATTAATCCGAATGAATGCCAGACCATTTGTTGGGTCGCTCACAATATTCTCGCATCCTGAAGAGTTGCAAGGGGGAGATATTGGGGTGGAAAAGTGCTGCATAGCAGGAAATATCCGGAAGTGAACTTGTTACTTTCAGAGTTTTTCTTATATTGACAAAATGCAGTTGAATTCAGTTAAGAAACATTGTAGATTGTGTTAAAATCAAACATAACCTCAAAAATAACAATTCTTGAAACGATTTTACGGATTTTAGACTTGAAATAAGCAATTTTGAGACAATAACCAAGTCATAATAGAATAAAATCTTCAAGATTAGCTTGAAAAAGGTTCTAAATGGAATCTTTTATGATTCTATTTTTAGGTTATGGTCTAAAAAGATGCCTAAAACAGCTGTTTTAGGCGGATTTTTACAGAAATATTCATGATGTAGCTTAAATACAGATTTTATCCATTATAATCTCCTCCTTGGAACGCTGTTCTCTCTTTCTTCCCTGCTCTGGGACATCGTCTCTTCCTGGGGCAAGAATAAACGGGGCGACTGGAGAGTGTATTCATCACGGCAGAACCTTAAGGCATGGCCGTAAGGTGAAATGATTTTCGACGGGGGTAAAAACACGACTGTTACGGTCAGTTGACGATGACACAGACACACCGCATTGCTCCAAGAAAGGTTCCTTCATTGTTGCGAACAGCCACCCTTTTAAGATAAGGGTACAATGGCACGGGACGTGCTTAATGAGCCAGACGTGCATTTCACAAGAACAACCCCATGAAAACCTGCCCGAAGATTGCCGGTTAAATGATGAGAACATTTGCTCCACACGTGCATTTGGTAATAAATTTAATATCATCCCGATAGAGTGGCAGTCATTCCACCCACTTTTTGGCAAGTGTGCGACGTCAGTGGCACGTCTTGGGAGACAATGCGCAAAAATCACTTTCCTCCCGGTATTTGGATTAAGGCACTTTGCAAGTTTATCTTATTCTATTACATTAGACACACTCTCGGGTGGAGGGTGGAAAGTTTTAAGAACGCGCACGCCGAGGGTGAAAAGTTTCTGTGGGGTTTTCATCCAGTGTGAAATGGTGAAAAGATATGGCAAGTCTACAAAATTCTCAAGCATAATTGAATAAGTGGATCTCGTGCTGGAGTGCGCGCTCTATCAATTCCTCCCCTCAAAGTGAAAGTGGGGGTATGTTTTCGAGGGTGGCGAAGGGGCCCAGAAATCAGACTGCCTCTCAGTGTGATTTTAATTGACCACAAAACGACCCATATTCCCTCATCCAAGAGCCCCATCAAGTGCCATTCGGGGGTGCTTTGATAATGACGATGGATCGCAATATCGCCCGGCCTGATTAATTTGTCTAACGTCTCGCCACTGTGGCATCTTGTCGGGCAGGGCCTTCAATCAACCCACATCAATTGATTCTGATTGATTTTTCGGCAGCTCACATAAATCACATTCGGGACGTGGCCGGTGTGGACCATGTGGGAATTGGGGCAGGATACGATGGTGTCAATTTGTAAGTATGCCGCACGGCGCCTCGCAATTGGCCGCTCCCTCAATTGCCCGTCCGTTGCAGGGTGCCGAAGGGGCTGGAGGACGTGTCCAGGTATCCGCATCTGCTGGCGGAGCTGCTGGCGTCCGAGAAGTGGACCGAGGAGGACATTGGCAAGCTGGCGGGCAGGAATCTCATCAGGGTGTTCCGACAAGTGGAGCAGGTACGTTTGCCACATTCTCAAGATTCACCCCAACGAGTTGGCAGCCTTTGAGACGATAAAAGGTTGATTTCAACTACCCAAGTAGCGAAGTACCCAAGTAGGAAAGTCGACGTGACGGAAAATTTCATGGAGTGTGAAAATTATTCTTACTTTCCTCCGGTTTTCCCATCTCATCCAGAATTTATTGACATAAAATCAGTGTTATAACTAAATTCTAACCCAAATCTAATCTCAAATCCGAATATTTTGAACATAGTAAGGAATTGTTCTTGTTTCTTCTTTAGAAAAAAAAAACTTTAGTGCAGATTTTTAATTTGAAAATTAAAGTAAAAAACATTTTGAGCAAATTGCACGTTAGAATCGGTTAGATTGAGGTAATTTTTCAGTCATGCCAGAGCGCGTGCTGCTTGGGTACGATGTCACTCGCTTTTCCACCGCTCGAGAGTGGAAATAAGAAAGTTCCACGACGCTGATGGAGTGCCTCTTGCACTCCGAATGTGGCCTCCGGTCTGTGGTCAGAAGTTTTCCGTCCTTTCGCCGTCACGAGCCACGATGCAAATGCTTCAGTGCCAAGTCAGCGTGCAACATGATGTCGAGGACAGTCATTATGGGCAAACTTCTTCCGTGGCCGGGAAACTTTACTCCCTTTTTTCCAGCGGTCCTTTCTCCCTGGGGGCGGAAAATACAGGCGCGCGTGGGCGGTGTGGTTGACTTTGTGTACCAGAGGCTGTTCATTAAAATTATTGCCTTTATTGCCACTGTGCCGTGGCGGAAATCATGTCGCACTAATGATGCAGAAATTCCCGTGGAGGAAAACAGGAAAGCTACCTGATGGATTTCTTTTCCTGGCCTCACAATGCCTGCCACGGTAATTTCCTCTGCCAACTCCATGCGCCACGGAGTCTTGGGGACATTTTAGTGCCCGATTGAGAAAGCGCCACATTGTTGGCTGTTCTTTTATTAGGCAGTATTTTTCCAGTCTCTCATATCGTCCTTTCTGCCGCGCACACACACACGGTTAGCAATGAAAGGCAAAATGGCATGAGATATCATCGTGGAATACCAGTAAATTTCTTACAGTGTATCGTAATGACGGAGTCGGGCACCATTGTTGGGGAAGCTGATGAAAAAGCGCCATTTAAAGCACTCCCACGCTCGTCCATTGAGCGTAAAAAAACAGCCCCCTCAGAAAGCATTCAGCAACTCCTCTGATAAGGCTTTTTCCTCCATCCACTTGATATCGAATTGAGCGGAGTGTTTTTCTTTGGCCGGCGCACAACTTGTTAGAAATGCAGACTTTCCAATCCAACTATTTATTGGCGGGTGTCGCAGATAAAACACCCAGCGAGCAATTTACCCTTTTTCCCACACCCACAGTGCGGAGGAATCGTGGCTTTGTCATACAGATTTGGTCGAACAACCCCATTTGCGCCATTATCTCTGCGGCTCCACGCGATCAATTCATCCATTTGATTTTTGCGCCACTTCGGACGCAACTGTCGCTCATTTCCAAGAGCTCTGCTCGTGGCAAATAGTTGCCGAAAAAGCCGCCCTCTCCAGCATGATTGATTGCTTTTCAATAAACGATTTCCTTTATTGCATTATATGGCTCTCGCTATAATGGCAAGCTGTTGCAGGATATTTATTCAATTTCACCCAAACTCCCCCGCATCGCTGATTAATGACTCCACTGACCGTCCTCCGGTCCATCAGTCGCCATGGCGAGATTGGGGGAGGATTATTGTCGATTTTTCTGGCACCTCATTTGAATGCTTCATTATTGGGCGCCCACTTGCTAACACACTTCCCAAGCGATAATGGGCGAATTTACATCGATAGTGACAAGAGGAAGGAATGCAGGGCAATGATTGGCAATTATTGCAGATTTATGTTTTGTCAATTTATGGAGGGTTTTTAAATGTTATTCCTAGGAAAACTCTGCAATTTTTGCAGAAAAATTCTGTTTATGTCAATGTTTGTTGGAAAATTAGTCTTCCGACGACCAAACATTCAGTAAAATGACGAATTTTCAATTATAATTTTATCACTCTTAATCTAAGCCATTTCTCGTTGATATTTCTGTGAAAATCTCCTTATATTTAAGCCAGTTAAAATATTTAATCCCAAAATTGTCAGATAAATTTAAGAACAGTGGTTTTGTTTGATTTTAGCATTTTTTATCAAGTGGAAAGTCACTCGCAAGTTGAGACCATTGACTTTGTGATTATTCAATCATTTTTTCGATTATTTCTGATTGTTGCTCAAATTTTGATTATTTCATACAAAATTCTGATTATTTTCTGAATATTTAATTAAGATTTGATTTTTTAAAAATATTTTTTTATTTATTCTTAATATTTCATTAAAAATTGATTATTTTTTATTCAAAATTTGAATTTTTTCAACTTTACTTTGAAAAAAAAATCATTTTTTGATAATTTTTTTACGTTTGATTATTTTGCAATTTTACTTGGGAAAATATTTATTTTTTATTATTATTTTCAGAATTTGATTATTGAGATTTATATGTAATTTACTTGGGAATTTTTTTGGTTATTTTTTTTACAAAATATGATTCGTTTTCAGAATTTACTTATTATTTAATTCAATAATTGTTTTTTATTCTTTGTAATTTTTTTGGAAAATAAAAATTTTTAATTTTTATTTGAGAAAATATTCATTTTTTGCCTATTTAATACAGTATTTGGTTATTTTTATTTTGTTTTGTGATTTAACTCGGGAAAATAATCTTTTTTGATTATTTATTCAATATTAGATTTTTTTTCTTCAATTTTAATTGAGAAAATAATCATTTTCAGGGTTTTTTTTTTAATTATTTAAATCATAATTTGATTATTTTGATTTATTTTCTTCAATTTTACTTGGGAAAATAATCATTTTTTGATTATTTTACTCAAATAATCGATTATTTCATTAGAGAACATTAAGTTTCCTCAGAAATTGCCTTGTGATTTGCCCCTTGATTTTCACCACATATTGCCGCTAGAAGGCAGTAATTTAAACTATAAAAGCAATGTTGGAGTTCGGATTGTATTTCCTCCTTATTTTAGGTGTTCAAAAAATGCAAGTTGTGATAAATTTTATGACTTTTTTACTATTTTGTTTCTCAAAATTTTTATTTAATATTCTAAAAATATTTAAATATTCAGTCACAAATATTTTTTTTTATTATTTTACATTTTTACTTGCAAAATAAATTTTTTTGGTTTTTTTTAATAAAAAATTTTATTATTTAAAAATATAAAAGAATTTTTAATTAATTTAAGAAGCTTAAATTCGTCACACAACTTAGAGAATTTTGCACCATTCTTCTGCTCCTCTTTGCAGGTGAGAGACCAACTGGAGGCGCAGGGAATGCCGCCCGTGGATCAGTCGATTCCGCCTGAGGACATCCTGGGCCGCTCGTACTGTCGCTACTCAGGGCCGCGCACGTGATGGTAAAGGAAGCCCATCGGAGCCCCGCACACGATATCATGAACAAAAGTCTATCTTCAGAACGTAATGTGATTTTATCGCCCAACCATCAGACAGCGGATTGTCGCTGGGGACAATTGGTCGGCCGATGGCGCAATTCAGCGCCACGAAGTCGATATCCAAACGAGTTTTAAAACAATATAAAAATTTGTAACATGACCAATTTGCTGTACATATGCAGAAAGTGACGAGCCCGCACGGAAAAGCGGGTCAGCGAGAGGCGAAAAAGAGCAGAGATGGCCGGATTTTTTTTTTTACCCCCAATTCTCCTCCATATGCAAATTTTGATGGTGATATATTGCGTGGCGGGTGTTTTTTTTTGGGGGGGGGGGGTTCTGCGTTCTTCACACACCGAGAAAAATGTTGAAAAGCAGAAAATGCTTTATTTCAATCCTTTATGCAGTTTAGCAATTTCGCGAGAATAGACTTTATGGTGATTTTATGAGAGTTTTGCTGTGCTTTTTTTTCCCACTGCAGCGAAAAAAGTGTCACGAGAGAAGATTTAAACTGCAGATTCTTGCAGTTTTTTCCGAGAGAAGAGAGAGAGGTCAGTGCGTATGATATGATCAGTAAAACTCATGTGCTCTTGAGTGAATAAAGTGAGGCAAAACATCATTTTGCCATTTTTCCAACCCTCGTGAATGGGAAAAATGGAATTCTCCCACAAGAGTTGCCGAAAAAGTCTCCCAAAGTGAGTTTGAGAGCGATATTCACTGGCTGCGTTTTTAATTTCCGCTGAAAACATTTATATATATATATAGTTATTTTTGCTGTTGTGGCTCCACTTCAAAGTGTACACAGAGATAAAATGTGATTTTTTCCCGTCGTGGGAAACTTGCAATAATGAAATACGATGTTGTTTTTTTTTCACCATACTTTCACATGGAAATTTTGTAACTCTGCATTAGTTCTTTTCCTCACTCGCTCACGTAAAATGCTATATATCATATGTTGACCATGAGCTTTGGTGATTCTTCCGGACTTCAATTATTTTTATTGTACTGGGGATTTCATTACATTTATTCATTCCACTGTTTATCGTGGCATAAAATGTGCCGCGCGCTTGTGGTTTGAGTGCCAAAAGACGATGGTAGAAAAACACACACACCCACACACAGACGGTAAGGATTTTTCCGTGTTTTGCCAGGGTTTAAAATAAAATAAAAATCATCCCGTGGATGAGAAGAGAGATGAATTGCTGTGGGAAATTCGATTAACATCGCCATTTGCGAGGAGTGTGTAAATACCGCCAATAAATGCTGCGGATGACTCAATTTAGCGTTAGGCTGTGAAGGGTCAGCAAACACTAAATATAGCAATAGTTACATTTTTTTCTACTATGTCATGAATGGTGTCGATGTGATGTGCACAGACAGAGCATAACTCGTCAAATTAAATTGTGATAGTACGCGATATATAGTCCAGCTCTCGCCGTGTTCCGTCAGCCATTGACACTGCTGGGGAGGTGAGAAACAAATGTTGAGGGCAGTTTTCCACTCCGCTGAGCGCCGCTCGATTTTTCATCACAACTATTTTCCCAATTAATTGACTGTCGCCGCCATGTGCTCCAAAATGCGCCACGCGGCATCCAGTTCTTTATTGGCCACACGTGGTTTGTCCGCAAAAACACTGCACACTTTTCCACCCTTGCGACGTCTCGCGTGCGATGCAAACATCGATCCAATTAAGAATCCCTTTGTTCTCCGCGCTGTGGGATTTCCCGGCCAGCAAAAAGTCAATTCAATTTAGTTAAAAGACATCCGGAGATTTGAATGTTTGTAGCATTTTGGCGTCTGTTTGTGGGAAAGCGTAATTGGCTTTCTTTTGATATATGCGACTTTGTGCTTAGATACGACCAAATTCACGTTGCAAAGACCTTCAAATTGAAAGCCAGTGCTTAAAGCGGAAAGCTTTTCAGGTGATTAAAATGCCCTGAAACCCTCAATTTGTGATCTTTTCAAGAGGAATCAGCCAGAGAAATTGAATATTAAAGCTATTTTAGCACCGATATTCCACCAATTTTCACTCGTTTTCTTGCAAATTGATGGAAAATTGTGACACAACAGAATTTAAATTTCGTGAATGGCTTTTTTAAAGCTCTTGCTATAAAATTTTACACGTTTATAGACTGAAAAATGCTAATATTGCTCTGTAAAAATTTATTTTCTGAATGTTTTAGTTGATTTTATTGGTTTTTATTGAAACTTTTGACTAAAATATGACAAAATGAATAGAAAAGAAGCAAATATTATTTTTCAAAGTCAATTTTTAATAATCTTCGTAGAAGATATTCAAAAATATGACAAATATTAATGAAAATTCATGAAGTTTTCGATTCACTCGAAGATTTTGAGGTTATATTAACAAGGAGATCTTCATTGTAGACGAATAAAGTGTAAAAAAAACCCACTCCAGCTGTGAAGAAAATCAAAGAATAATGCCTCAATTTTAGTCTTTCTTCCCAAGCTGAAATGCCACGGAAAAAGACTCTCTAAATAAGGAAGAATTTAGCAGAAACTTGTACAATGTTTCATGCAATTTTTATATGTTTCACACAATTGGGTGGACTTCGAAGGGCTGGAGAAGATGGTGAGAAATTGGAAGAAGGTCTTAACTTGTGCTGTATTTGTGGAAAATGTCTTGCACATGTGAACCGTACTTAGTTCGTAACTACTTGAGGTACTCAATTTGCCCTTTGCGAAATCTGGCTTGCGGATTGGAGTCAAATGGCGGAAAAACTGGGCACGGCGAGACATTTGAGTGGAAAAGTGTTCACCTCCATCTTCAGTGTTGTAGTTTATTGGGGCCACACGAAGGAGCGAAGCTGAAATAATGGCAGCAATGTATTGACGATGGGGTTTGGGGAAGGAAATGAAATGGTGAGACAGCTTCGTTGAACCTTCCTTTTTGGCACTCAGCCAGTCACTGGGGAAATCTGCAATTGCTTCTGGATTCGCCACCGTCAATTTTCCAGCTCAAACCCCTTTTTTTCTCACACCCCCTCGAGAGAGGGAGGGAGGGTAAGCTTGTGCGGTGGCAATTCCATCCCAGTGAGATGGACAGAATTGAGTCAGCAGGCCAATGAAAATTGTTGAATGAACCGGAAGATTGTGCTCATTGTGCGCCCAGGATATTGTATAATTTGTAAATCCTGTAAATAATCTACAACCAGGCACAGTTGCACGAGCGCATGGAGCAAAAGAGCCCAGAGGTGCTCTCGATAGACACACGAGCTGTAAATATCACGATGTAGAGACATTTTGGGGTAGATTAAATTTGCAATTGAACATTTTTGGCATGTAGCGGCCAGAAGTTATAGAGATAAGATATATCAGATTTATGTGGCACAAATTCACACAAATGTTTTAAAGCCCGGGTGGCCACACATGCAAAACTCCACCCACCCGATCGTGAGACACGAGAAAATATGTGTAAATACAAATATCACAACATGCAGAATATGAAGGCGCGCAGAATATAATAATGTTAGGCGGAAAGATGAGGAGCAAGTTGTAGTGTAAATAAAAATCTTTATACAGCAATTTTTTTTCATGATTAATTATGGAAATAACAAAAGAAATGGTGCCATTATCCTGAGTTACACTTTGTTAGGTGAAATTGTACATAAAATGATTTCTCAAGAGGAAGGAGAGAAGAATATGAAATACACAATTCAATTTACTTCACCTTCTTTTGCCTTTCCCACAATCTCTCTCTCTCTCTTTGGCTTGGTTTTATCACCATCTCCGGAGAGAGGAGCGAAAAGGAGTCATCGTTCAACCTGAGGGATGTTTTCTTAAGCAACCAACCGCTGCAGCTGCTGGTGAAAAATTGATTGGAGAACGTGACTATAGCATATCTCTGCATTCACCCATTTCATAAGCCGACAATGTTACACCACCCCAAATATTTTTCACACCCTCACCCACTGGCCCCAAGCATTCCACTTCATCTTCTCCAAGAGGCAGATATTGTGGTCGGAAGTGGTGTACAGCTTGAAAGGAAGTGTTTAGAAGTGAAAGTGGCAAAATATATTAGAATATTTGCACTGAAAAAGCTTGCATTTCAACCAAATTGAGGCATTTTCCTCATTAATTTTGCTTAAAGATCAATCTTATTGCATTTTTGAGGTTATGTTTTTGGTTAAAACAGATTAAATTATCTAATTTCTCTGTTTCTTGGCAGATTTTAGCATTTCTGCGTGAAAAGAGCTTCATATTGATTGAGAAAGAGCCTAAAAGTCAAACATAACCTCAAAAATATCACTCAAATGCAGAAAAATGTCTCTTTTCTTTGGTTATTTTTGCACTTTTTACTGTACAAGAATATTTGCACTGCAAAAGCTTCCATTTCAACAAATTGAAGAATTTTTTTTAGTTACGTTGACTAGAAAAATCAATTTGATCGCTTTTCTTTATAGGTTATTTGATAAAATAACCCTCAAAATCATCTAATTTGTGCTTAAACTGAGAATTTTTCTGTTTTTTTTGGTAAAATTGAGCTTTTGCGTTCGACAAAAACTTAAGATTAGGTTAGAAAACAGCTCAAAAGTCAACCATAACCTCAAAAATATCTCAGAGAATCCTCTTTGCTTCATTATTTTCACGATTTGTGCTTAAAAATGGCAAATTTAACCCCATTATTTAGTGATATTCGCCATATTTACTCATTTCCAGGCTTGAAACATATTTTTAGGCAAAATTCATAACCTCACAATTTATTTGGAGATTTTTTTTTCAATCATTTTCTGAAGATTAAACTAGGAAAATGAAAACAGAAATTGTTCATAAACAAATTCTGGGACGTTAAAATCATTTTTTACACTCTGAAATCTGAAGAATTTGAAGAGCTTAAAGTTCTTGTGATGGAAAAACCCGAATTAGCTTTGTGATAAGTCAGAATTGAGTGTGAGAAACAGTTGATGGAGTGGAAACCGCAATGGAAAATGCATTCTTAAGGGTGCTAAGAAGTGTTGAAGATTCTCCAGAGGACTTGCAGAAGAGTTTGGACACTGTTTAGTCGTATTATCTGCCCCTTGATCTTCTTCTCACTGCGAAATCACCGAGAATGCCCGGTGAGAAAATGAGTGAGTTCAGCTTTAAGGGCTTTGAGAACTGATGGATTTTCCGGGGCAGATAGTAAAGCTGCAGTTTATATTTTTCACATGCGAGAAAGGTAAGTCATTTAGCAATTTCCAACACTTCCGTCAGTCTTCTTTGACCATGAAGCTGCTCAACCGGAAATGTTCCATCCACAACAGCTGAGGACGGGGAAAAGCGCACAGCAATGTTAATGGTTGGGTGT